CCCCCCAAAAAAAGAAATGCACTTCAAGCATGTTCTTCTCTGATAGGGAGCTTCCCCCAAAATTTCATGTAAAAAGCGCCTCTTTAGAGGAAAAGATAAACTTCTTGCAAACAGCTCAAATGGTACCAAATGAACTTCCCCTTCCCGCACCCCCCCCCCTTCTCCTTTATAAAAAGAAAATGAACACATATCTAGACGGCCCTCTCACCTCATCTTCAGCTAACTTCAGCAGGTACTTCCCCAAAGCCTCGGGAGAGGAGAAATCAGCAGCATCAATCACAGATAGGGGCGGGAACATTGTCTTGTAGCTGGCCCCGCCCCTCACCACAGGAACCACGCCCCCCTGAATGAATACTTTGAATAATTTTTCCGTTACGTAATCGCGACAGAGTGAGTTCTCAAAGGCGAGATAGAATTTATAATCCTGAGTCAACATGCTCATGCAATGTGTTCTGTCGGCGCACTTCAGAGTGCCACAACGACCATAAATGTCGACGGGCAGCACTCGCGACAAACGAGACACATATGCTTGTCGCCTGCTTTGAGTGTAACAATTGCTGACGAACCATGCCGCCATTTTGGTTTTATTACGAAACTGCTCCCTAAGTATTCGTATTTCATCCTCTTTTTCATCTGTTTTCGTTTCTTGGGCATTCTCTTCACCAACTCGCTTACTTTCGCCTGCAACGCCTTTGTGTTCCGAGTCTCCCCTGGAGGGGGGAGAAGCGCTTTCAGATTCTGATTCACTAATCTTGATCACACGCCCGTAACCGTGCCAGAGGTCTGAATCTCGACGGTAGCTCATGGTCCAGTTGAACGCCCCCCTCCAGAAAGGTCCCCCGAACATATCGTTGTTGGAATAGACCGGACTCTCCACGGTGAAGAACACCCAGATCTGGCCTGGCGTTCTGACAATACCCGTGACATTTTTTACGGCCGGATTGATGTGCTGGTGAGAGAAGAATATTACAACTTCTGCTTCTTGGAAACGTCGGGAGTCGGTGGTGATCTCGCACTGGGTGGCGTCAATCCTGTTGTTGTTGTTGTTGTTGTTGTTGTTGTTGTTGTTGTTGCTGCTGCTGCTGCTGCTGCTGCTGCTGCCGTTGCTACAAGAACGGAACACCTCTGAGCCGAGGCGCGTGTCGAGCCCGTAGTAGTCCGGAAACTTGTGGAAAAGGATAAGTCCAGGTTTTATTCGGCTTGACATCAGGGTGTGATCCGCCGAGCTGTTCAGGCATCTCGGTCCTGGAGTAAGAACAGAGGAGGAGACATGATGATTGATACATTGTAGTTTTGTTAAGTACATAGAGCATGCTGAGGAGCAGGGGTATCAAATTCAACCGCTAAAGGGGGTTAAACTAAAATTGCAGTGGATAACATTCAATGACTCACTGAGCAGTGCAAGACTAAATTTTAAAAAAACAACAACAAACAAAAACAAAAAACAACAGCAGCAACAAAACAAGAGTATGGAACAAAATAAAGGCCAAGATGATAAAAAATCAAGGAATATTTTATTTCTCTTAAGCCGATTTGTCATAGCTAGATAGAAGTTGAGAATGTTTTCTTGATAACAAATGCGTTTTGCTACAAATCAAAGCATGCGGTATTCCAATTTTCTCTCTTAAACCAATTTGTCAGAGCTTGAAGTTAATCATGTCTTCTTGATAACAAATGCATTCTACATCAAATCAAAGCATGTGGATTACATGACAGTACAAATTTCCGTTCTCACTATGCCAATTTGTCAGGGATGGATGTTTAACATCTTTTCTCGGCAACACGCAGAGATTCAAAGCATGCAGCACAATTTTCAGTGGAAAGCAAATTTGTTAGTTGGATGTTTATAATCTTTTCTTTACTACAAGTTTGTTAATATTTTAAGTAAAGTTCTGTGTTAGGGAGGGAGATGATCAGAATGGGCTACCTAGAGGTCTCTCGAGGGCCGGATAAAATATTTGTTCGTCGGGCAAGATACGGCCCTCGGGCCTTGCTTTTGCCACTGGTGCTGTAAAGTAGAGCATGGATATATATGCGTCGTTATATAAATGAAATTACTACATTATTATCATTTTCGCCATGGGGAAATCTCGACCAAAGACTGACAGATTGACAAACGAGTAGGCAAACAAATAAACATAGAGTCAAATGTTCATTTAGGAGCGGCAATGAATACATTGGCGTACTAATGTGTGGAGCGCATAAGTGCTGGTAAATAAGGAAGTTGAGTTGCTGGTTTGCCTACAAGAAGTACTAACAGAGTGTCTTGAGGCTCCTGTGACAATTTCGTCACCTCCCTCTGTACAAAAATTAACTTACAACATACACCCTTTGTCCTCAAAGTAAGCAGATAGACCCCCCCCAAAAAAAAAAAAAAACCAACACAAAAAAAACAACAGCAACAAAAACAAAACAAAAACCCAACAACAACAACATACACACACATACACACACACACACACACACACACACACACACAC